TCTCTGGCTTTCTTTTCCAGATGTTGTTTGACTTTGTCTATTTGTGTTTGTCTATCAATTTCTTCTGTTTCTTCTGGAAGTAATCGATTATTAATTTGTAGATTTGATTGCATTTGCGGATATAATTCTATTGAAATTTCGCCAGTACTGAAGTGATGTGTGGAGTTTGTTGTATCTTCAAAACGTTGAATAATTTTATTCCATTGTGAATGTTTATCATGGAAATACGCTCTTACAACGCGTCCTAGTTCCTTCATTACACGTTCTACTGGATTTGACTGAGGATTATGGGGCGAAGTTCTTCGTACGCTGAATCCTTCTTCTTCCGCAAATTCTTTCCATCGGTCACATCGGAATTGAGTTCCGTTGTCTGTAATTATTGTTTCTGGTTTGTCTATTGTTGTTAGGTATTTTTCTTTAATTGCTTTGATGATTGTTTCGATTTTTTGATTTGTCACAGGAAAGCATTTGATTAGCTTTGAAAATTGGTCCATTGTGACAATTATATATCTTAGACTTTCTTTTGTTGTAGGTAATGGTCCGAATAAATCCAAAGATATGGTTTTATTTTTATCTTCTGGCAAGTTGAAATATTGTGGTCCGCAAGTTGGTCGTGTATAATATTTTGATGCGATGCAAGTTTCGCATGATGCTACCACGTCTCGAGTAATTCTATCCACATTGTTGATTTTGAATAATTTCTTTACGAAACCAGTTGTTTTGTCAGTCCCGTAATGTACTAAATATTTGTGGACTGAGTTTATTAACTCCCACGCCAAACTGTTTGGTATTACCACTCTTTCTTTTGCTCCTTCGTTAACACGAATTAGTCCTTCTCGGATTTTGTATCTTGAATTTGGTTCGTTTATTTTATTTTGTAATTCCATATTTGTTTGTTGGGCTCGCTCGATCATTTCGATCCAATTGTCTGGGTTGTCGTTTTCTTCTCGTTCTAGAATTTGACATATTTTAAATTCATTTAGAATTGCAGTTTTATTCGTGTTATCGGCATATTGTCGGGATAGAGCATCTGCTGTCTCGTTTTGTGTTCCTGGTATGTGTTCTATCTCCAGGTCGAATTCTTGCATGAATGATATCCAACGCGCGATTCTTTCACTCGCATTTGCACACGAGCTTACGAATTTAATAGCTCTGTGGTCTGTGTTGACCTTAACTTTGCGTCCCATTAGAATTACGTGCCATTTTTTTAAGGCAAAAATGAGTGCTAAACACTCAATTTCGGTGATTGTGTAGTTTTTTTCGGCATTTTTCAAGCTTCTGCTTGCATATGCGATTGTATATTTTTTGTTTTCTTCTTTTTCGTCGAATTGGTATAGTCTCGCTCCAAGACCTGTTTTCGATGTGTCTACGTCTATGCCAAAATTAAGTTTTGGTTATTAGATATAGGGTTGGTGCTTCTGCAAATTCACTTTTGATTCTGTTGAACGCTTGTTGTTCGGTGTCAGTCCATGTGAATTTTACATCTTTCTTAAGTAGGTTCTCGAGTGGTTTTGTCAATCTCGAGAGGTTTTTTACGAATCTTCGGTCCCAATTAATTAAACCTAGAAAAGATTGTAGGTTTTTCTTGTTTTTCGGAATTTGGAACCCTTTGATTGCGAGTTTTGTCTCATCATTAATGTTTGCTGTTACTTCGTCAAAAGTATGTCCTAGGAATTTGATTTCCTTTTTCAGAAATTCGCATTTGCTTTTGTTTATCTTGAATCCAACTGTCTTCAATTTTTGAAGTACAGTGTCGATGTGATCCAAATGTTCCGCTAGCGTATTTGATGCGATGAGTATGTCATCCAAATATACTATAACGAAGTTTAGCATGTCGTCTTGTAAGGCTCGGTTCATGGCTCTTGTGAACGATGCTCCTGCTGTTTTTAGGCCGAATGGCATTCTTTTAAAAACGTATGTGTGGTTGTCAAACGTGAAACCTGTATATTTTCTGCTCTCTTTTTCGAGCGGTATTTGCCAAAAGGCTTGAGTGATGTCAAGAGTTGTGAAATATTTTCTATTTCCAATTCTGCTGAAGATTTCGTCGATCGTTGGTGGCTGAGTATGATCTCCTGCCATTTTTTTGTTGATTTCTCTTGCGTCTAGACATATGCGTAATTCGCCTGATTTTTTCTTTACGGTAACGAGAGGGTTGACGTATTGTGTTGCCGCCTTTTTAATTATTCCCTGCTCTTCCCATTCGTTTATCAGCTCGCGTACTTTTTCTCGGTGTATTTCCGGTACGGGATACGGTTTTCGTTTGTAGGGTTTATCGTCCAATATCTCGATTCAATGTTTGTAATGGTTGACTCTTCCTATTCCCTCCTGAAATATTTCATCATGTTTGGCGAGAATTTTTTGTAGCTGAATGCCCCCTTCTTGTTTGGACATTTTGATGGCTGATATATTCTTGATTGGTGTCGTATTGTTTTTAAATTGAACTTCGAATTGTTCTTTGTTGTATTTAATTAGTGCTTCATATTTCGTGAGCACGTCGTGTCCGATTACCATCGGGTAAGAAAGTTTTTCTACTACGTAAAATTCGTGTAGTATTTCATTTGAATTAACATTCATGAGGATTTGAATTTTGCATGCTACAGTTAATTCCTGTTCGCCAAAAGCTCCGCGTAGCTTGCACTTCCGGATTGGAATCTTGTCGTGCTTTTTGCCCGCTTTGACTATTCGATTTAAGGTTTCTTGAGACATGACCGAAATTTCCGCTCCTGTATCAATCAGTGTGCGTATCATTGTCTTACCGACTTGAACGTTTATCATTGGTTCAGTTTTCGGTTTGGTTTTTTTTCTCGGTCAATATCTTCTTCGAAAACTTGCATTATTTTGCGCATTCTCATTATTGCAACATGTTTTTCCTCTTCTTTTATTTTTCTTTCAGGATTTGTCGATGTTTCGTCCTCTACCTTACTTGATTCTTCATCTGATGATGATTCTGGTTCCTTTTTCTTGATTGCAGAAATTCCTCTTTTACCGGCTGTATTCGTCTCTTTTGCGGTTTTATTTGCTTTCGCAACTGCTTTTGATTTCGGTACAGTTTTGTTCCGGTCTTCTTCGCTTTCGCTATCAGGGAATTCCACAATTGGTTTGGAACTTTGTTTCTTGTTTCCCCCTTTGTGATCATACCAAGGTAAAGCTTTTTGTCGTTCCTTTTGGTATTTTGGGTTTTGCTTTGTGTTCCAATTTGTATTTTGTTTCTGGAAACTTTGTGGTTGTTTCTTTTTTGTGCCTATATCTGGCTTGTCGCTTACTTTTTGTTTTGATTTTTCTTCGGCGTAAGCTTCTTTTTTGTCTTAGATTTCTTCCAATAACGCTGTTAATTCGGGAATGTTTTTTATTGTAGTAGTTTTTATTTCGCGTGCGACATTTGTATCAAAATGTCTTTTGATGCACCGTATTACTTCTACGTCTCCCATAGGAGGTTCAAGGAATTTCGCTTTTCGTGCCAAATCCAATGCATAATCGGACATTCTGGTCACTTTGCTTCCTTTGAATTTTCCCATATAAAGTTTTTCTCGGAATTTTGCTTGTTGGGATTCGCCCCAAAAGTGTTCCGTAAATTTTTCTCGAGCTTCATTAATATGATTGAAGTCTTGTATTTCGAACCAGGCTGCTGCCTGATCGCGAAGACATCTTCCAAAAAAGTATAAGAGGTCTTTATCCTCTACGTCTTCGTATATCGCTATGGTATTAAACTTTTTCAAAAATCTCATAGGATTTATGTCTTCAGTTTTGCCGCTGAATTTAATTTCATCGAATAGACTCTTAATCCAGCCTCCTCTGGGTAATTTCATACCTTCTCTTTGCATTACGACTGGTCTTGTTTCGATGGCATTTGTATCGTCGCTTGTAATAGTTTCTTGCGAGTTGCATCGACTCTTCAATCTCATATCGTTTTTGAATGCGTTGATAAAGATTTCCATTTTTTCCTTGAGACTTTGGATTTCTAAATAAGCTTGTTCGCCATATGATTTTTCTTCAGGTGTTTCCGTTGTGCTTCGTACTTTGCCCGATCTTAATGTTGACGGTGGTGAGTGCTGAACTCCCCGGAATGGTTGTCCGGTTTTTTCTGTATTGTTGTCCATGTTTATCGATTTATAATTTATTTGAGCGGATTATTAACTTGCGTAATTAAATAGCAATAATTCTTTATTATTATCAGCGAGTTTTTGACTATTTATTAGCGTAAACCTTAATGTATCATTTTAGTTTAAATGAAATTAAGAAATAGCTTCTCTTAATGGTCCGCGCTTTTACCGATGAGTGGTGTCTCAAATTGTCGAGTGGTGTCTCGTAATGGTCCGCGCTTTTTGGTCGCTGTAGTCTCTCGTAATTGGTTCGCGCTGTGTACCGTCGAGTGGCGTCTCGTAATGGTCCGCGCTTTTGTCTGGGACAATTTTTCTGATGAATTATTTGTGTATTACAATTTTCAGGTGTATGAGTGTCAGTATTTCTGTTCTGATGACGATAAGCGTCAGCCAGGTGTTATGACTCTTTTTTAGGTTATTGCAATCACCAGGTAGCTCTAAAACGAACACCTTCTATTATTGGTGTGCGTTAAACCTTTATTTTAGTTAAATTCGTTTCGTACTTACTTTTCCAAATTATTGCAATCACCAGGTTGTTCTTAAAAGAACACCTTCTTTTATTAGTGTGCAATAATTGGATTATACTGCCACAATGTTGATGCTGAAATAGGGTTTTTTTCATGCAAGTGTGCATAGAAAATTTGTTTTTAACCCGAGCATTTGCATGCAACAGTATATGTTTCGCGGATATTCAAAATCTTGCAATATCGCGTTTAATATTAGCTTATTTAATTAATTTGTTTGAAATCAAATTTGAATAGCTATTTTAGGCTCCCAAAAATTTTGAAAATTATGGTGCCGTTATGTTTTGAACGAAACTGAATTTATTTTTACCCGGTTTATAATACCGAAATTGATTTACCGTATGAATTTACGTGTTCTTAATTCATTATTCTGTATTCATGCAGATGTATGAATGTCTGTGTTATTGTTCTGTCGACGATAAGCGTCGGCAGGTGTTACGGTCACTTTGAGTTTTGTTTGACTAGTGCCGCATTTGTCGGTATCTTTATATTCGATACTTTCTTTTTGAATCGCTATCGCGTTTTTATTTATGTTTATCCGCGACGTAATAATTGCGATGAATGTTTTATTTATGTGTATAAATGTCAGTGTTATTGTTCTGACGGCGATAAGCGCCCGCCAGGTGTAACGGTCACGTTTTGTCTTTGACTGAGTGGTGCCGCCCTTTGTCGGTATCTATTTCCGACGTGAATTTCTTTTCGGTCGCTATCACGTTTATTTTACGCGATATTTTTATTGCGATGAATGTTTATTCGCTTGTATGAATGTCAGTGTAATTGTTCTGACGGCGATAAGCGCTCGTCAGGTGTGTCGGCTACTCTTTGTCTTTGACTGATCGGTGCCGCACTTTGTCGGTATCTTTTTCCGACGTTTTTTACGATCGCCGATTTCTTTATCGGTGTCGTGTTTTCGCTAATCGTATCGCGTTTTTTTTTTTTATTTTATTTCCGCGACGAGATTATTGCGATGAATTTCACCGGATTTCTTGCAGGTAATGTTTTGGTTTCTCGTGTTTTTTACGGTGTATGTGTGTAAGTGTAATTGTTCTGACGACGATAAGCGTCTGTCAGGTGTTCTGGTCACTTGATCAGTGCTTTCTTTTTGTCGGTCTTCCGACAGATTTATAGAGAAATTTCCAACTTTCGTTGTCGTTATTAGAACAACGATCAACGTTATTTTCTTCGTGGTAAACTTCCTGCAAAGAAATTTCTTACGGTTGTGTTTATTATAGATTTTGACTCGTGTTTTTAAGACGTTTTTGCAAGCTCGTACTACATAAGTCGTACTGTCGGCATTAATTGCTGACAGCTGTCACGTTCGCCACTTCAATTCGCACTATTCCGTATCGCGCCCGATATGCTACGTTAATTTATTTTCGCCGAGCTTCGACACAGTGCAGGCTAACACACGACTTACTAACGACGCTCATTTTACTGTGACCGTGCGATCCCTTATTTTAATTAGAATCGAACTTACAACGGCCCAGGTTGCTCGCTTTCGTCATCTATGCGGTCGCCAGTTGTTTTAGCCTTATAAACAACAAGGTTACTTACGGTCGTTGATTCCACATGACAACGTTGACACGCTAGTTTCCTCAAGTGGATCGTTGTACCGCTGGATTTATTAGTTTCCTCTTTTTGTTTTAGGTCGTCGTGGGATGCTGGATTCCTCCTTCTCATTGCCGCAGACGTTTGAGGATTCGCTGGACTGGATCGCCGTGGGATGGACGATAGTAGGTAAGATGAATTCACACGTTATGTTACCAGGTAAATATAATATATATATTTTTCTTTTCAGGTTGCGCACAAATTCTATTTTATCGTTTATAAACACTGTACAAAACGATATCTTACTAGTCCGCGTTTTCCCGATTTATTTCTCTATGGAACAGAACAGAACTTTCTGAACCTCGACGCCTTGCCGCGCCGGCTTATATTTGCCGCAAGGTCACCCCTCTCCTGACCCGCTGGCCAATCCTGTTCTTCCGCCCCGCCAGGGGCCCGCTGACTACTCAGCGCGTTGCGCGCGCGCACATGCTCTATACTTGGCTCATCTAAAGTTCTATTTTTATATTATATTTACACTATGTACATTTTATTTGCTTATGTCTAGTTTGCTTATTTAAAAAAAAAAAATAAAAATAAATGTCATAATGATTTTGGTTTTTTAACATGTTTTAACCAACTGACGCATTGGTTTTACAACATAACAAAATAAATAAACTTGAACCTAGCTGGTCTATTAACATAAACGAAAACTAAAATTTTATCTTGTCTCGCGCTTGTTTTTATAATTTAATATTAACTCAAAATGCGTGGAGTAATTATAAATATGCAAAAAATAAAAAATAAAAAATAAAATTACTATTAGATGACTTAAAATTAATTTTTATCAAAAATAAATAAAATTGTCATCTGCGTTTTTTTTTAAGTTCATACTGCTTTCCTCCGCTACTGGGATGTCACGTCCTTCAACCAAGGCAGCTCTTCCGGACTGCGCCCAGCTGTGGTTGGTCGCAACACTCTCCCCCCCCCCCCGCGAATTGCATCGTGCGGGGTCCTCGCGGTTGCGACGTAGGGCGGTATCGACCCCACGTCGCGCCCTCCCAAAGAGTTTGGGGAGCGGGGTCACGGCTCGAGTGTCCCGCTCGAGCCGCCACCCCCCGCCTCCGGAGTGGTGCTCTCTCCCCCTCCCGAAGGGAGTGGGGATTCGGCATTCACTCCGGAGGCCCTCACCAGGGGGTCCCTCTCTGAAGGAGAGAGACTCCCTCCGTGGACGACGTTGCCCTCCCACCGGTGCCATGTGGCTTCCGGTGAGAGGGCCCCGTGCGTCACGTCTTCGTCAAAGAGGGGGACCCAGGCGCCCCGAGCGGAAGGGCGATGCCCACCCGCCGGGGACACGTGGCCCCCCCTCGGTCCCCCCGGCTGCGACTCCTTCCGCTCTCTTAGGAGTTGGGATTCGGCCGCAACCGGAGGGATTTCCCTTCCGGGTGCCCAGACCCACCCCCCGGTGGGGTGATGCGTCCACGCCCCCGGTTCTCGTGAGGCTCCAAGGGGGGGGCATTAGGGACTTAGTTGTCCCCGGCCCCCTCCCCGGGAACCTTATCCTGCGTCAAAAGTTAACGCAGGTATGTCGGGGACGGACCCCCCCCCGATCCGCGCCGCCACAAACGAGCGAGCTCGCCGACGGCGCGGAAGGGGAGGGCCCGGCCCCGCCCTCCACGTCTACTCTTCTTTTTCGGAGGTTGTACCCCTCCCCGACTTCCGCCGCCATCGACGGGCAAGCCCGTCGAAGGCGGGGGAGGGGCGCACACCTCCCCCCTCCGTGTCTTCTCCTTCTTCTCCTCCGCTGGGGGCGCGCCTCCCCCGATCCCCGACACCACAAACGGGCACGCCCGCCGGTGCCGGGGAAAGAGGGGGCACGTCCCCGCCCTCTATTTCTCTTTTCTCCCTCTCTCTCTCCGCCTCCTCCTTCTGCAGCAAAGTTTGCTGCAGAAGGAGGAGAACGCCTTCCAGGCCTCTTCGTTGTCTGTCATTGCCCTCACTATTGAGGGCAATGACAGATCCCTTCCCACTGTGGCCACGAGCTCCTCTTTCTTGCCCGCCCAGGCAGCACACTCTTCGAGTGTGTGCTAGGCGGTGTCTCGCCCGTGGCCACAGTGATAGCACCGCGTTGTGCGCTCTTTCCCTATTCTGTGCAGGTACTCACCGAAACAACCATGTCCGGTGAGCACCTGCGTCGTGTGGAAGGACACCCCTCCCTTGACCCTGTCTAGCCAGGGTTTTCCAGACAGGGTCGTATAGCCCCGACGGTGCGCTGTCCTGGCAGCCTCGGATCTTTGAGGCTGTCCCTCCATTTCTGGATCAGCGCCCGTCGGGAGTGGACCCTCACTGCACGCCGGATTCTGTCCGTTACTATGATGCCCGCCCGCTGATATTCGCGTGTACGCGTGTACACGTCTGCGTACATGCGGGCGAGCATCTCCACGGGGGGCACTCCGGAGAGTACCCCCACCGCTACCCAGCTCACTGTACAGTAGCCCCGGCATATCCTGTTGGCCACCCGCCTCTGCAACTGCCTCGTGGCGTCTCTTGGGCCGCGGGTGGCCTCCAGGCGTTTCACCCACACCGGGGCCCCGTACAGGAGCATGGCATGGATTGTTCCGGCGTACAGTCTTCGGACACTCCCGCCAGGTCCCTCAAGGTTGGGCAGCAGGCGCTGCAACGCCATTGCTGTCTTTTCCACCTTGGGGGATATACGGCGGAAGTGTTCCCGAAAGGTCCACTTGCTGTCGAGGTGGAGGCCCAGGTATTTCAGGCAGGCCCCCACCTCTATTGAGGTGTCCTCCACACTGATGTGGGCTCTTGGTGGCGCCCCGTGAGAGACATCGTGTAAAAAGATGGCCTCAGTTTTTTGGGGCGCCACTTTGAGCCCCATCTGCTTCACGAGCCGCACAACGCGATGCACCGCTATGTTTGCTCGAGCGGTTGCGTCTTCCCACGAGACTCCCCCGGCCATCACCAGCGTGTCGTCGGCATAATACACTGTGTGACAGCCGGAGGGGAGGGCTTGCCGAAGAACAGCGTCGTATGCGAGGTTCCACAGCAGGTTCCAAGTACTGACCCCTGCGGAACCCCGCACGTCATCTGATGCTTCTGTTCTTCGGCGTTCCGATTGGTATAGGCCAATTGCCTGTCCCGGAAGTAGTCCGCCAGGATTGACACCAGATACGGGGGGACCCGGTGGTATTCCAGGGCCGCCCCGATCCGGTGCCACGGCAGGGTGTTGAATGCGTTGGATATATCCAACGACACAGCAAGCAATACCCCGCCTTCCTCCGTCACGGCCTCCGAGATCAAACGGACCCGAAGAATTGCATCTATCGTGGACCGTCCGACCCGGAAGCCGTACTGCTCCTGGCTCAGATTTGGACCTTCCCGGGACAAGTGGTAGACGAGGCGGTCAGCTATGATCCTTTCTAGGATCTTACCCGCCTCGTCTATTAAGCAGATTGGCCTATACGCCGAGGGTACATCCCTCGGCTTGCCCTCCTTAGGAAGGAGGACTACGTTTGCCTCCTTCCATTCTCGTGGGAATCGACCCATGCGGAGGCATTCGTTGTACATCCTCCGCATGGGTCCCGCAAGACCCCGATAGGCGAGAGCCCAAATTCTCCCGTGAACGCCATCCGGACCGGGGGTCTTCCCCGGTTTTATCTTTTTGATGGCGTTCCGGAGCTCTCCCTCCGTGACCCCCATGGCCTTCTCGTCCCACTCCCACTCCCGCTCCGGAATTGGGTCTGGTTGACCCTCTTCCCGCGGGAATAGAGTGTCGACGACTCGGCCGACAAATTGGGGGTCAAGGGACTCCGTGATTGGGGCGCCCCCGCTTCTCAGTTTTTTGAGTACTATGCGGTATGGGCGCCCCCACGGGTCTTCGTCCAGGGAGGAGAGCAACTCATCCCAGGCTCTCGCTTTTGCCTTCCGTATCAGGACGCGCAGGTCATCTCTCTTTTCTTTGTAGTTGTCCCACGCGTCCTGATATCCCTCGGGGTCTACCCGCTCGAGCTTTTTCCTCCTATACATTTTTCTTCTTGCGTGGTCGGAGGCTCGCCTTGCTTCGGCGATTTCCTCCGACCACCAGTACGTTTTTCGGGGGGACTTTCGCTTTATCCTGGGCATGGCCGCATCACAAGCATCGTTTATCGTTTGGAGCAGCCACGCCCTCTCTTCCTCCTGGTCCCCCCTGTTTTTCCCTCCTCTAACCATCAGGGCCGCCTCAAGTGCGGCCAGAAACGCGTCCTGGTCCAGTTTCTTTAGGGCCCATCTTCGAGAGACAGCTCCTTCCTTTGGCGGCGCTCAACTACCTCGCGGGGGAAGGCGCCGACGGAGAATTCCACATATCTGTGGTCAGAAATGGTTTCAACCTCCGCCAGCACCCTCCACCCGCTCACCATCCTTGAGGCAGAGGGAGTGACCCATATCAAGTCTATGATTGACTCCCCCTGCCTCCTAACGCATGTGGCCTTCCTCTCCCTGTTACAGGGAAGGAGACCACACCGCGCCGCCCAATCTAATGTCTGACCACCCCGCCAATCTTCCCGCGGAGAACCCCACACGCCCGATTTGGCGTTGAAGTCCCCCGCGACAACTACGGGGGCGGGGTGGTATTTTTTCAGCTGTCCCTCCATGGCGCGTAATCTCCCGCAGAAGTCTCCTTTACTGAGACTCGGCGGGAGATACACGCCAATAACGATGATGGACCCCCATTTGACCGTAACCGTGCCCTCCCCCGATTCTAACAGCTCCATCGGGGGAGAGTTTGACGCGCCTCTGTGGGCGATTGCCGCCACGCCGTCCGTGCTGCTTACCCAATTATTTTCTGGGACACGGTACGGCTCGGCCACAATCCCCAGGCCGCAGTTCCTCTCCATTATGTTCTGGATGAAGAGGTCTTGGGCCGACCCTGAGTGGTTGAGGTTGGCCTGCAGAATTTTACAGGCCATTTCCTGCTGGTGCTACTTCCTCTGGTCCTGCCTCCATGGCGGCAGGATTCCCCTCTTCTACTTTTAGTTAGAGGCGCGTCCTTTTTGCGCCTCCTTCCGGTAGTCTCTCCTCTTCTTTCTTCGTTTCCCCCACGCGTGTAGGTCTCCGTTCCTTCGGAGCCTCTACTGCGCCACCAAAATCGATGAGGAGGGGGGATTTATTTTGGGAGGGGGGGTGTCCAGTCACTTTATTGACTGGGACCCCTCTCCTCCCTTTCTGTACCGGTATGCACGATTTGCTCCCTGTCCTGTGTTTGGCAGGGAGCCCTTTGTCCGCGCATACCGGACAGTTTACGTTTGCCTCACAGTTCCTTGCCGTGTGGCCCTAGCATTTATTGCTACGATCTATGTTGTTGGGGCACCGTGCGCGCACATGACCCCCCTCCAGGCATTTGTAGCACTGGAGGGGCCTGGTGTCTAAAATCTCGGCGCGCACCAGTGCCCATCCTATTTGCATTTTGGCCGTGCCCATTATGCGGTTTGCCGCTTTTAATGGGCATCGGACCCATACAATTCCTATTCCACCTGGGGTTTTCCTAATTTCCCCCAGGTGGATTTCCTCCGCTTCACAACCTCCGTTAGAGGCTATGGCTTTAATGACTTTAGGGGCTCTGATGGACTCATCTAGCCCCCGAAGTCTCATTTCCGCCATCTTGGTCGGGCGTGCGACTCTAACTCCTACTTTGCCCATCAGGGCCTTTTTTAATTCAAGGGCGAACCTATCAGCTCTCTCCTGATTGCCCGCCCCTTGAATCTCAAAGATGTAGCACCCTGTGGCACCTCTTTTGACATTGGCGCCTTCCACTTGGATGCCCTTGTCCTTCATCTTTTGTTGCGCCTCCCGGAGAGTCTCCTCGTATGTTCCGGGAGGACACGTCAACGTTATCGCCGCTGTTTTGGGCTCCTTCCTCCTTTCTTGGTCGGTGTTTGCGCTGCTGCTTTTTGTGAGGGGGGGGGGAATTCGAGCTAGTTTTGATGTTCTTATCTCTCCCCCTGTTTGCAGCAGTGCTCTCCTTTGCTGCCGCGACCTTCGCCCTCTTCTCCTTCCTGGAGACTACCTCACTCCAGGAGGTGGCCTCCTCCCTGCCTGCTGTCCCTTTTGGGGGAAGCTGTGGTTTTGGAGGCTGTAATTTTTGGGGGGGCTGTGGTTTAGGTGCTCCTCCTTTTTTTTCCATCTGCTTGGGAGCTGATCTCCCGTTTGTCTGCCTTTGCGGGGGTGGAATCACCTTCTTGCTCCTTGCCCCCTCTGTGCTGGTTGGTTGGGCGTTCCTTACCGTCGCCTTCCTGGAGGGTGGGTTTAGTGTGGTGGCAGGCATCACCTTAATCGCCCTCTTCACCACCTCTATGTCCTTAACAATTGACCCAAGCCGACATATTGCATCATCATACGACCCCTCTTTACAACCTCATAACGAACAAGACCTCAACATTTTCGACGAGGACACCGCTAACCTCACATTCAACGATACTCGCGATTTCATCCCCGAAGGAGCTCAGGACAACTTCGCTTCTTTCCTTACTTACTTTAATCAGCCTGACAATCCGGAAGAGGAACTTAGTAATATTATAACTCGATTTCAAGTTCTTCACGAACCACGTCAGGACCACTAACCTTATGTCGACGCAAAGGTTTTGTGAATAAATAAACGACATTATATTAACAAATTATCTTTATTTATCGACCCGACCCGTCAGTTTCCTTCTCTGTCCGATACTCTCAACGGAGTTTCAAGCTCTCGGCATCCCTGGGTATAGCCGGCCTAGCAGGTTGCCCATAAAAAAAATAGAGAGCAGCTTCTTAAACGTCCACTGAGGTAGACGCGAGAGAAGACCGTCTTGTGCAGAAGGTAATTTATCGCTAGATGAATTATTGGACGTAACAAGAAGGCAATTTAAATTTTGGTGGCAGCGGTAGGATTGGCCAAAAGAGATCGTTGAGAGGTCGCGGAGATTGATCTGTGCGATCGGTGTTATTTCATAAGTAAAATTAACGTAAAATCAGTTATAAATTATAAATTTCAAAAACGAAATGTCCTTTACCAGAACTCCTGTACACTCAGACAATTCAGAAAACAGAGTACTCACCCGCAGTCAACTTAACCTTTATACACAGAATTTAAACGATAAAGAAGCCCAATTAACAGCACAAGCTGAGACATTGCGAAATAGAGAGGAAAATTTACTTACATTTCAACGGACTTTAGAACAAGACAGAAACATGGATGACGGTTCGGTAACCGGAATTTCAGAACAATTAGCTGCACAATAATAACCCTTATGGAAAAATTATCAGAACAAGTAACTCGCTTATCACGACGTATAGATATAGTCGAACATTCTGCCTAAATGCAAGAACATTACGACAAAATAGAAACACAAAGACCGTCCACTCCTTTACAACTAAATTCTCCTATTCGTTTGAAAGACGCTATAGACACTATCCCCAAATTTGATGGACATAAAATGTCTGTCCTCCATTTCACGAAAATTTGCGAAAGAGCACTTCAATTAATTCCCGAATATCAAGAATATCATTTAGTTTAACTAATTTTTAACAAATTCAAGGGCATGCCTATGACGCAATCGAGGGAGTCGAATTTAATAGCCTACGAGATCTAACGCGACGTTTAAAACTTATTTTCGGACCGAACAAATCCATCGATCAATATCGAGGAGAGTTAGCAAACATATTTATGAAACAGAATGAGAACATTTTTGATTACATCGCGCGCGTTCAAGAATTAAGAACGGCAATTATAGATGGAGAAGCCGATGTTTGTGGAAATCTCGACGACAAAGTTAGAGATAATATTGAAAAAGGCGTTACTAACAGTTTTATTAATGGATTACCTTCCGATTTATTAATCCGCGTGAAATTAGAACGTCACTATACTTTTGAACAAAATATTGTTACTGCTATTCAATTATCCAAAACTTTAGAAGTTGAAAACCTTCGAAAGAAAAATACAATTTTTAATCGCGCTTACACTTCACCTCGTGCCGACGTGAACTATCCGACGGCAAGACAAACCGTGAACAATGTTGATAATAACTCTCCAATAATTAATAATTCGCGCAACAATAATATTTCTACTACTGCTCCTTTCATTAAGCCTTTGATACCTGGTCAACCCGGACCAAATTATCCAGCCACTAAAATCTGTCGTTACTGCAAAAGTTCCGGTCATTTCATGAGCGAATGTCGGAAACTCGCTTACAAAAGATCACTCGAACAAAATCAGGCTCAACCTAGTACTTCTTTTGCTAATTCGGGAAACCCCCAAAGCGTTCCGGAAAAATCCGACGTCCGCCGGAACAAAGCCCCGACAGGACGCACACAACCTGCAAACATGATCCTTACACAGCAATCAATTCCAACAACATCACTTGAATCTGCAGTGTAGATAAAGAGTTTAAATGCAACGATTTACCTTCTATCAAACTTATATCCCCACACTTATCACATGAATGCAATTTTATGATTGATTCAGGCTCTGGCATAAATCTTATCAAACAACAATTTGTATTACCTCACGTCAATCTAGATAAAGAAAATATTATATCCATTCGAGGCATTTCCTCTGAAACAATAGTAACTTTAGGTTTCATAACTATCCACTTGTTAGACAAACCTACTTTGTTCCATGTAATATCAGACTCCATTTGCATTCCCCAAGACGGAATCTTAGGAAACGCTTTCTTAAAAGAAAGAAGCATTATCATAAATTATAAGGATAGATGCCTTCATCACGGCACTATTATCATTCCTTTCATCACCCTTGAAGTTGAAAAATTACATCTCAAAGCAAGGACTGTTACTCCTTGTTGCATTCATATTTCTAATCCAGAAATACATACTGGATATTTACCTTTACAAACCCTCGCTGACAAGGTGTTCTTTGGAGACGCACTCATTACTCATTCAAACGGAAGAACATACTTACCGGTATTTAATACCACCGAGGAGGATTTCAAAATCAACATTCCGTCAGTAGAAATTTATGATTTTGAATCTCGCGAATCTATAGATATTAACGAGAGTATTAAGACCTTAGGGCTCGACGTACTTTATGAAGATGAAGAAACGGGAGAATACATTAATCGGACCGAAACCTTAGGGCATTCGGTACCTTCCGAAGAAAAAATGGGAGACAAATCCATGTATTGTACGAAGACCTTAGGGCACGGCATACACTACCTAAATGAAACGACGAAGATGGGAGATTATACTAATCACACTGGAACCTTAGGGCATTCAGTGCGATTCCAAGACGAAGAAGAGATGGGAGATAAATCTGCAAGATACATCGAAACCTTAGGGCATTCAATGTCTTGCAATGAAGAGTATATTACCGAGAGTCGGGAGACCCCGGTAATGGGAGATGAAATTTCTAATTCCGTCGATTGTGCGAGAACCCTAGGGCTTTTCTCGACCAACGACAATTTGACTAACTCTAATCGACCACACGCTGTCGAACAATTTTTAACTCGAACATTTAAATCCCGAAAAAATTGATCACGTCAGGTCAATTCTTACTAAGCATTCAGATAGATTCCATCTGCCTAACGAGCCTTTAGGAACTACAAACGCGACTCAACACTACATTCCAACTATTAACGAAATTCCTATACACAATAAACAATACAGGTTTCCTCCTGTCCATAAAGAAGAAATCGATAAACAAGTCAGCGAATTATTAAATAATAATTTAGTCGAATATTCCACATCACCGTATAATTCACCAATCTGGATAGTATCGAAAAAAACAGATTCACAAGGCAATAAACGTTGGCGTATGGTTATAGATTATCGAGGATTAAACGAAAAAACTATAGAAGACGCTTACCCTCTTCCTAACATAACAGACATTCTTGACCAATTAGGATCAGCCAAATACTTTTCAATATTTGATCTAGCTTCCGGATTTCATCAAATTTCTATGTCACCTAAAGACGCTCACAAAACAGCATTTTCTACGCCATATGGGCATTATCAATTCAAGCGCATGCCATTCAATTTAAAAAACGCACCTGCTACTTTCCAAAGACTTATGGATAATGTATTATTGGGACTACAAGGAAACGAATTATTCGTCTATATGGACGATATTGTCATTTACGCACGATCATTAAGAGAACACGAAATCAAATGTGAAAGATTAATGCAAAGATTACGAGACGCGAATTTACAATTACAGCCAGATAAGTGCGAATTTCTAAGGCACGAAGTAGCTTATTTAGGCCATATAATAGGCGCGAACGGAGTCAAACCAGACCCGGACAAAATAAAATGAATAATGCACTTCCCAATTCCGAAAAATCCGAAAAACATAAAACAATTCCTCGGTTTAGCCGGATATTACCGAAGATTTATACCTAACTTTTCTAAAGTCGCGAAACCATTAACAGATTTATTGAAAAAAGATAGCATATTCAATTGGCAATTAAAACAAGTAGAAGCTTTTAACTCTTTGAAACATTCATTATGTTCGAATCCCATTCTCCAATATCCTGATTTTACTAGACCTTTCATACTAACTACCGACGCATCAGGATATGCCATAGGCGGAATTTTAAGTCAGGGACCGGTAGGAAAAGATCTTTCTGTCTCATACACTTTTCGAACTTTAAAAACCGCGGAACAAAATTATTCCACGATCGAAAAAGAATGCCTAGCCATCATATATTGTATTAGCCATTTCCGACCCTACTTATACGAAAGACCTTTTACTATAATAACAGATCACAAACCTTTAATTTGGCTACACTCTATAAAAGATCCAACCTCCAGACTCTGGAAGTGGAAAACCAAGCTAGCGGAATATA